GCTGCAGTGAGATACATTGAAACATGAGGCTGCTGAATTGGTGACAACTTTTAAATCACTTCTTAAAACATATCTTTAAAAGGCTTTATTTATTTATTTATTCTAGCACATGTTGCATCTATTATATTGGCATTATTGGTTTTACCACATATTATGAATGGGTATTTTATGCTTTGAATTTCTTGAATCTTTCAACTGTTAAAAACTATTTTGGTTTTGTTTTACCTGTTTTATTGTTGGTACTTGTGTTTTTATTCTTTTAATTCTGCCTCACTTCTGTGTGGTTATATTTCTCTGACTTTATTTTGCCTTATTGCCTCCTGGAATGTTTTAATCCTGGTTCTATGTAAGGCACTTTGTACATTTGATTTGAAAAATGCTGTATAAATAAAGTTTATAATCATTTTTATTATTTATGGTCATTGTCTTTTCAACTGAATGTGTCTTTTTGAGACGGTCACTGTGTCAGAACATCGTGATCGTGGTGCCTTTTGTTCCTGCAGTGAGTTGGTTAAGGAGATGTGTCAACCACTCATTGCTTGTGATCTTTAATGACCGGCATGACCCTGAAAAGGGAAGGAAAAGCCAGAGATGGACACAGGAGATAAGAGATTTCCACAGCCTTAGTTAGTTTCACAACACTGTGTTTAAATGTTCTTTAAACACAAGCAGCAATACAAGAACTTAATGATAACTAAAATCAGAAAACGATCTGATGAGAGAAAAAGCGAACAGGACTATAAATATGGCTAGAATTTCCTTGCCAAATTTCAGGACTTTTGTGAAACCAAAGAGCTGGAACCAAAAAAGCCTTTAGGTTTGATAGTCAACCCGACTCGTGAGTCGTTCCACAACTTTCACTGAAATGACTGTTTTCTGGGGATACGTGTGGGCCAATGTAGAGAAGGGTGTAACAAAGAGTTGACGAAGCCCTGAGAGAAACGCTCTCATCCATGTTAATAAAAGCTCCTCGGTTACTTTTGTAAGTGTTGAGTATGCAGTCTCCAGTGGTTTGTGTTTTTGCTGTAAATAAACTGTTGTGCAGGCCTGAGTGTAAAGCAAGCTGATGTTGATGCAACTCCTGTCAGGAGGCGGTACAAAACGGAAAAATTACCGTCACGCACATCCGCCTAGTGCAGCCTGGAGAAGCCTGTTCCCGCCTTGCCACACAGCCGTACCGCTGTGGTGTTAGCGCCCTGCAGCTCGCCAGTGTTTCGGTTTAACGAGTGACCCTGATAACTGGTGAATATGTTAACTAACTGGAGGCCGGAGGGGGGAGAGTGCAGGTACTGAGGATGAAACATTATCCTGCTGTACCACTTATAAAGTCATGTGCAACAACAAAACAAACATTGTTGGTAATAGAGCATATCCTGCTGTTGATCCACCCTTAGTCACAGCGACAGACTAACACAAACCCCGCCTGCATTTTCACTTGGGTGTTAATTTCAGACCCTGTTCTCTGAATATCCTCCATCTCTACTACTGTCTAATGTCTTGTAATGCTTTCTTTAATCTTCATTTCTCTGTTTTGTAACTTCACCCTAATTTTATAATGAAATCTGCAACGTGCTGGCCTCGTGCCTTTCACAAAAACAAGGCCAAACTCTCAGTCAGACATTTGGCTGCTCCCGCTGATATCAGACTGAAATACTGGCATTGTGGTGGAGTCGAGAGGAAAATCTGGGCTTGAATCAGTCACCAAAAGAAAAGCTCTCAAACGAAGAAGGGATGATTATAGCAGAGGAAAAGAACTGGAGCAGGTCGAACTGAAATCACAAACAGGGCTGATAATTCTGAAGAAAAGTGAATGTTTCCCCGCGGAGCTGCAGTGACTCAAACCTCAGATATGTAGACTGCCCGTCTGCAGCACCAAATTTGGTCCTAACTCACTCTGAGTAATCAAATACCAACATTTGGCTCATCAGAATGGGTGCTGTGAGAAGATTGAAGATAGCCTTCTGTGTATCCCCTCCTGCCCGGATGAGGACGCTTTATAAATCCTGTGCAGCAGATTATCCTGCATCAGGATCCATTTAACCAGAAGAAGAAGAAAGTAACTGATGCAGTCTGACATTTAACAGGAAGAAAGGTTTCCTACATTATGACTCATCACTCACGATGAGCTGTAAGGTAACATCTTTAGTGTCTGAGCTACTTATTTCTGCAGCAGCCTATGAGAAGCTGACAGCGACACACACAAATATGGACTTGTCTTAAAGTCGTTTCTCTCTGTAAATCTGTCAAACTCTCCTCTACACTTTCTCTCTCTCTCTCTCTCTCTCTCTGATCCCTGAACAGCAAATATGGCCTGATCCCTCTGCCAACAGCTGAGTGGATAAGGTCTCCTTTATCAGTCCTGAGTCAACACATTATGTACAAATGTCTCTGGAGAGGTCACAGGTCAGTGCAGGAGTCATGGTCGAAGGAATGAGGGCTACCACCAGTAAAGGGCCACTTCTGTCTGACAGTACCGACTCTTTTTATCCATTAATGTGGAGTTATAGCTCAGTTTTGGAGTGTTAAACATTGTTTTATACAGTATTTGTCTCCCTGGTATTTATTTTAATTATTTTCATTTTAAAATCAACTTTTATTTTTTAGATTTATAGATTTAAATATTATTTATTGTTGTTAATGTTGTGTTGTTCTATATTGTTCTATACTAATTAGTATTAAAATGCTCGTTCTTCGTTCCATTGATGTTTGAGGAGTTTGGTTCAATGAGTTTTAATTAATCGATTTAAACTCACCAAGTCAATTTGTTTCATTATTGTATTTACTCTTTATAGTATTTATAGTATTCTGATACCGCTAAAACAACGTGTCAGTTAATAAACAGTATTAATATGGATTGATAGAGTTACTATTTTATTGATACCTGACACTGCTAACAGGGTATCTTCACATGACATTAAAATATGTGTCCATTCATTTTCTATTAAATATAATTAATGAACTAATAGTTTCAGCACTAAATCAAACAGTCCAACAACAGAGCTGCGTCTGTTAATCTAGTAACGGAGCAGGAAAGAGACGAGACCTGCCACTTCTAATCGCTTTGTGTGAGCCTGGCTGACAAAGCTGCATCATGACACAGCATAAAACAGCGTGTAACATCCACACTGCAGTCGTACCTGGATGCTTTTGATTCCAGCTCTGCAGTAGTATTTCTTGATGTCCACGTCGATCTCCGTATTCCCGACAAAGCTGAAAAGAGGGCGGAGAAAAACGCAATACGAGGATTAATGATATAATGTGAAAGAGAGGGATACATATCGTACACTCATGGCTTCATGTTCTGCATTTGTTCTCATTCAGAGCAACTTTTATTCTGAAAGGAAACGGCTGGTATTCTGTTATTTTGTTTTTGTCAACAAATCCCACTGACAGACAAAAACCAACAATGTGTTCGTCTGTCTCTCAGTACTTTATCTGCTCCTCTCAGCCCATTCGTGATTACTGAAGGTGGAAATCTTTAAAAACAGCTCGCAAATATGTCGTTTTTGTTTCTTTTAAGGCTCAGAAATGTCCTAAAAAAGCTTTGCACTGTAGTTTTAAACAAACGTTCCTCAAAATAAATAGTAAATAGTGTGTGTAAGACTATTTGCACTGCGACAATGGCTGACAAATGAAGTCTGCAGTTCCTCTAAAGACCACTAGAGGCTGGCTCCAGCAGGGAGTCAACCTCCATACGGCCCCATATTAAAATCGCTGACTTTACCAGAGCCGACCACACTGACCTTCATCCATTCCTAATCATACAGTCTATCTCATCAAGTCATTGTTGGTTTTTCATGGGTTTGCTGACAATAACAGACAGAATATCGGCAGTCTTATGAGTCTGTGAATGTGAGAGGTTTACTGCGTACCTGATCTGCAGGTCCATGATGACCTGCCTCTTGTCCACATTCTCCGTGTAAACTTTGACCCCGTCGACTCTCAGCGGCTGCAGAAACGCAGATAAAACAGGACACAAGTGAGCAAATCTTCCACAGATCTGCCCAGAGTCTGGATTACAACCCTTCAGATCTGCTGTTCATCGCCTACATACGACGCTCTGCTCTGAAATGTGAGCGCAGTGTGGCTCAGAACGAGGCTTAAGCCAGAACAGACAAACAAAAGACAGCTTGGTACAAACAAGAGGAGGAATGCTTTTCATAACAGATTAAAAACCCAGATTCACTTTGCTGCTTTTGTCCTCCTGCAAACAAACGCTCTGAAACAGAGACGAAAAGTTCAGTTCAGGGAAGTTCAACAGCAACAAAGTAGACGGAAATAGAAACACGCCAATAAAAGATCTTAACACCGACACTTAGCAGCAGCAGTATTAACCAATAATACCTCATTTCAACGTTTTATCCTCATTAATACAAATACCTGATACTTACATACCAGTATTTCATATTTCTCAGTGTGTTTTCCCTTTAAATTAAATGATCCATCACCGTAAGAACATTACCTGGGTTCACACTCTTTTTTAACTCATCATTTCCAGGAACTTTCCAGGACATTTTCCAGGAGTTCCTCTTAACAATGCAAACGATTATATAAGCTGTTGTCTTGGGCAAATTGACTACATTAATACCGAGACTATTTCCAGGAAAGTTGGTCATTTTAATCAATTTCCAGGTGTTTCCATGACTGGAAAACTACTCTCTAAATTTCCAGCTTTTCCAGCTTTACGTCTGCTTTGATTGTTGCTATAAAACAGTTGGTAGTATCAGATGTAGAGCTGCAGCTAATGATTATTTTCAATATCCATTATTTTGCAGATTATTTTCTAAATACATTGCTTGATCAATAAAATGTCAAAACTTGTGAAAAAAGTCCAAAGTCTTTAGATGTCTTGTTTAACCCACATATATTCCGTTTAATGATATAAAACACAGAAAAAGCAGGAAATCTCCATATTTGAAAGGCTGAAAACATCATTTTCTGCCATTTTTGCTTGAAAAAAATACTTTAATCATTAATCAATTACCAAAATAGTTGGCAAATAAATAAAGTTTAACGTTTGCACTGTTGTTTCTTGTCTTGTATTTACTTTCTGCGCCTTTTGTTGAACTTAGTATCAGTTTAAACTACAATAAAAAGATATAAAAGACTATAAAACGAAGTGCTGCGTGTGCTGTATGTCGTCACGTCGTCACCTTGTCGCCCATGTCGATCTTGGTGAAGCAGAAGGTGCTGAGATGAGGGTTGGCCGCCTTCACCGCCGGCTCGATGGTCTCTCTGAACAGCTTGTCCACAAACTGGCAGATAAACGGCCACATCTGTTTCACCGTCTGAGGGAGAGGCACAGAGAGTTAGTCCAGATCCCACAAAGAGCTCGTGACCACATTCCTGGTGACGCCGATACACGCCTGCCATGGTTTTTACTGCGTGCTTGGTGGACTTTTAACGGGCTCCATCCCGAGGAGGAATTACTGTGTTCTCTCTTTATGTGTGGGAAGAGACAGGGAATGATCTGCTGTCTCACTGTTTGCAGACTCTAGAGGTTGCAATATATTCGTTAGGTCTAAATGAGAAAGAGACCAGTGTGTTGTATTAATACTGCGCCTGTAGACGGACTTCTGCAGTACTAACCATTGTGTACAGCACTGATAAACATATTCCAGGACCTTCCAGGTAAATTTCCAGTAGTTTTCTTGACATTACAGGAAAACACTAGCTCACAAACGCTCATATCATTTACTGGTAGGCCTGTTTATGTCACATTTAACTTTATTCCTCCTTTTTAAATACTGCAGGGTTCATGATGTAGAGTCTCAGGTTCATTACAGGTAGGTGGTCCATGTTTATACTGCGCATGTTTTCCTACTAACAGCCAAGTTTCAAATAACATATGGAGGCGATCTGAGTCGACAGTCACATTTTCCAGCTGCCTCTACTACAAAACTGCTTTCTTAATGTCGTTAATATGCCCTGGTGCTAGGGATTGGCAGCCTGGTCGAGTTATCACCTGTATTGATCGCCCATCAGCCCCTCACAGATAAATGATGGCAATCCTGATCTTTCTTATTACAGCTTTAAATCAGACCCAATAAACAATAAACAACAATACAATAAAAGACAAACACAACAGGACATTAAAAAGCTCGTTTCCTGCTGATCTGCATCCATTAACGTCTGACTGGAAGTCCACCAGGACATTTACAGTAAGTGATCTCTCTCTCTCTCTCTCCTCTCTCTCTCTCTCCTCTCTCCTCATCTCTCTCTCTCGTCTCCTGTCTCTCTCTGTCCTCTATCCTCATCTCTGTCTCTTCTGATCCTCCTCATCTCTCTGCATGGGGGTGTAGCACTGGGTCAGGGTCTCGCCAGAGCTCCAGGATCTCAGATCCTACTTTATATATTCCTACCTGTCTTTCTCCCTCTGCATCGTAACACAGCAAACCAGATAGAGATACCAAGGTAATGAGAGTGTGTGCTGTGTGTGCTGTTGTGTGTGTTGTGTGTGTGTGTGTGTGTGCTGTGTGTGTGTGTGTACCTTGTTCAGCCACTCCACTCTCTCCACATCTGGATAATGGACCTGTAATGTGAGATAGAAAGGCAAGATTTAGAGACATTATTTTAATACGGACTTCCCATCATCGCCCGAATGTAGAATTCTACAACTTTTCCATGTTTCTTCAGGCATGAGCAGTACGGTTCCCCTTCAACGTGGATTCTGAGTGTCACACACTTCATTTCTGCATTCTGGTGATTTTTTATGCACAATTTGTCCTTTTTACGCATCTGCTGCTCTCACCATGAATGTTGCATCAGTTTCAAACCATCCGGTCACAGACACGGGCAAAATGTTTCCCATATGGGATGATCCTGGATTATACAGGACAGGTGGCAACCCTGCACTGCAGTCTGCTTCAGTCACTACGATCTGCAATGTAAATCCACACTGACAAGGACTGACTGAACAACCTCTCTCCAGAACAAACTTCTTCTAAGAGCACTGGGATCCGTGCACATTCTACATGTTCAGCTGTCATTTAGGGCGATTTCTAATCAACACACAACATCAGCAAAAGGAAATACTAGATCTCTCAGTCTCTGGAATCACTGTGGCCTCGCTTTCCTTTACTGAGATGTGGCCAGTCGCCAGTTTATTAGGAACACCTAGCAAAAACTGATGCAGCAAAATGCATTTCCACCCTGCCTTCAGGAGGGTTGTCATGTTGTCTCCGAGGCTGTAGTTTGTGGTGCTGGTAATTATCATCTATATGGAGGAGGGTAGACCAATATGTGTAAAATCTGCACATTTCTAAACCTAAAATTAAATGAGGAACAGAAAATAAATGAAACTGAACCATTCAGCCGACCGCAGCTCATTACAACAGTGACTGAAGCTTTTGTGAAGCCTGATTACTACAGATACACTGCATCCTCTTTCTTATGATACTGTATTATGGAGCTCGTTCTTGTTTTTCCTTGCCAGTTCTCTTTGGCAGAGCACCCAGCCTCGCTTAAAGCACACAGATATTGTCTGGTCCAGCTAGTGAGAGCACGCACACACTCAGACACTTCACAGCGAAACACACAACTAAAATGTGGAGAAACCCGTAATAATTCAGGAGCTCTTTGTTCAGTCGTTCTTTTTAGGAATAACTTTCTCTACGTGAATATCGTATTTGGTCAGAAGTTACGGGGTCGTTAAAGTCATGACAATCCATCCAATAGTTGTTGTAAACATTTCTCTAAAAACCACAAAGTCTCTGAGGAAAGGTCAGATCCAAAATCTCATTGTCGTCCATCCAATAGCTGCTGAGTCTGAACCAAAGCGGTGGACAGACGGAGACGGACAGACTGACATCCACAGAGACCGATGAGTGTTTCACCTTCATCCTACTAAGTGCAGCAGTCACTTTCAGTCGAACGAGGCTCTTTAAGTGTGTGACTGTATCTGCTGACTACCTGAGAGTGAACGCCGCCGCGGTGGGACAGGATGTCAAAGCCGCTGTGGAGGACGGGGCGTCCGCTGTGACAGACCTGTTACATAACTGACACACTGGGAGGATTGTGCAGAGACACATTTGAATATAGATTACATTCAGGAGGAACAGGAAGGCTTCACTCTCTAAATTAATAAATAGTGTGTCTGTGTGTGTGTGTGTGTGTGTGTGAGAGAGAGAGAAACAAAATCTAACAATGTCCA